ACTCTAATCAATTTTGCTCATAAAATTAATCAGTTTCAACATTTCTTCAGAAGTACTCTCTAAATTTTTCTAATATGAGGATGGAAGGTTTTTCATGCCTGGATGTTTTGGGCCAGTCATTTATGAGGTCATTTGCTTTTTCAAGAGAAAGAGATGAGCAACATTGCCAGTCTTTTTCCTGGTTATTTCATTTATGCTTTCCAAGCCAAATCAAAGGGGTGACTTATTTAATCCACTAACAAATGTTCCCATTCCTGTTGCCTAAGTTCTTGCTGTCTAGAGTGGGTTAATTTTGGAAATGATCTGATGATATTTCTGTTACAATGTAAGACTCACAGCTGGCAAAAGTAATGTTAAGTACCAAGACATAGATCAAGGTACACCTTCATAAATATGTGTGGGTTCAAGGTCACCTACAATTTTCACAATATCATGACTGTTTAAAAGTGACAAAAGTTGTTTACCATTACCAAATTGTGAGTTTTTCCCAAAGCTTTTGTGTCTTGCATTATAATCTCTAATAAGAGTAGTTTTCTGAAATGAACCGATTAAATTATCAAAGAAAACAGTAAATTAAATATGTTGTGAACAGAGCTGCATATATAAATCCAATGCAATTTTATTTGCCCAAAAAGTTTATGTAGAAGTGATTAATGTACAGAACACTAGGTTATATTAATAAATGAGGGCAAGTTTAAGGGGTGGGGATTTTTCAAAGGGGCTCTGGACTCTTGTAGAGACAACATCAAAGGGTCAGTAGTTTACTTTATGGTGAAGGTCAGGAAATTTTCCTAATCGAGCCACCCGGTCACTTCTTCATTTATTTCCAGCCTTAATTAAGGTCGACCCAAAGTCGATCAATGTAGTTTATTTCACATTAAAATCAATCCATTCCTAATTCAAAACGGAGGCTAAAAAAAAAAATTGAGCCAAGCAACTTCTAAATTAGTTTTCCCGCTCTATCCACTTAATCACATCCATTTCCCTCGTATGACTGAATAATCCTCGCTTATGAATTCTTAAGGATATAAAAACCCACTGTGTATGGGTGAAACTTAGTCAATAAAAAGATCACATTTTACTGCATCTGTGTCTGTTTTTTTTCAATCTATGAATTCTCAAATTCACAAAAATTTCAAGTTTCTACCTGCATGAGAAAATCTTACTAAAAATGCCTCTAGGTTCTTGTACAGGTGTATAATGTGCATTTCAGCATTGAATTATATGAGTCATTGTCATATTATATTTATTACGTCCTAAACTTTGTCGAAATTAAAAAAAAGAAGCGCAACAGTCACTTCTGGAAAACTAAACGTGCTAGAAAACTAAATGTACTAGAAACTAATCGTGCTAGAAAATTAAGATTGGCTAGAAAACTAGACTTGATTAGAAAATTAGACATGGCTAGAAAACTAGACGTGTTAGAAAAAATAAGAACAGATTTGGAATCAGTGCTTAAAATGGATTAGGAAATTATGTTTAAATCTTTGGAGAGACAAAAAATTAATTTTGTTGACCAGTGTTACACATTATATTTCAATCCCTGATGTAGGTCATTGATATATATGAAAAAATGTCCATTGTCAGTAAAAAGTGATATATATGAAAAAGTATCCACTGTCAGTAAGTATGAAAAACAAGAAACATTAATTATCTTCAGTCTATGGAGCTTTTCGTGGCATCGGCTGGACACCCTAACTGTTCAAATTCAAATTCAAAGTTTATTCTCTATAAGGATTACAATGCTGAGTTTAGAGAATTTGGTTATTGTGTGGTTTACATGTAGTAAAATACTAATTACAGAGGGGGCCACTAGAACACCTAGCATGGCTAGGCATTTCGGGCAGACTTAGATTAATTCTTAACATTAAAATATTACAAATTATGAGGTAAGTTGGTATTATGGCTAAGTGACTAAATACTAGTTTGTGAGTTTAGCAATGTGAATGCTTTTGTTTTGGCACAATACATAGTTTCAGTATTGGAGTATCACAGGCCAACTTACGACTAGTTAGGATTCATTATTTTAAGATTGAGATTGATATTTCTGTTTATGGTCAAATGGGTGAGTGAGTGTAAGTGTGAACCACCAGGTGGTATTCGTGTAATTAGTTGACGGGGTGTATCAGGGAGATAAGCTGTTTTCTAATGGTAGTTTTGAAGGTGATGAATGTGTCTGCAGTTCTAGAGTTCTCAGGTAGGGTGTTCCGGATTTTAGGGCCTTTGACATACATTGAATTTTTGTAAAGGTTTAGTCGGACACGGGGAATGTCATAGAGATGTTTGTGTCTGGTGTTAAGCCTGTGGGTTCTGTCACAACTATCAAGAAAGCGTTTTAGGTCAAGGTTAATATTGGAATTTAAGGTCCTGTAGATGTAGATTGCACAGTAGTAAGTGTGGATGTACTGAACAGGGAGTAAGTTTAGATCTATGAAGAGTGGGGGGGGGGGTGTTGCCAGGGATGGGATTTAGTGATTAATCTTACTGCGGCTTTTTGTTGGGTTATTATTGGCTTCAGGAGTGTTGCTGTAGTTGATCCCCAAGCACAAATAGCATAGGTGAGGTATGGATAAATAAGTGAGTGGTATAGCGTGAGAAGGGCATTTTGCGGAACATAGTATCGTATCTTGGAGAGGATCCTAACCGTTTTGGATACTTTTTTGGTTATGTGTTGGATGTGGAAATTATTTAATTTCCGAAGCTATAGTGCCTAATAAGTGTTTAATGTGTTGATTTGGGTCAAAATGTATTTGTATTTTTTAATAGAACCAACCGGGTTTGCCCTGCACCTGCGCGGATGTGCGGGGGAGACAGGTCGGCTCAGGGCATGGGTGAGAGGGAGTGTTTTGAATGTAGTGAGGAGGCTGTGAAAACATGGGACCAGGAAATTGGCATTCACGGTGCCCTAAGGATTAATATAGGCCTCACTTCATAATAGGAAGTGTCGTAACTGTTCCTGGTGAATTGTGAGGGAACGGGATTTACGGGACCACCGTAATAAAGTGGTAAAATTAGTGAATAATGGTATGATCGGTGGGGACTGGCACGTCGCCATGGAGTGTCCCGGGGAAAATACCCGTGATTTAATCATCACTCATCGGTCTCAGATCTTAATGGAGTGATCTCTAATGTGTATAATAATTATGAGACATTAAATCGTCTTGTGAATGGTAATGTAATCAGTGATAATAACATTAAGTTAAGAGAATGCGGGAAGTGAAATAAGTCACCCTGCTCCGAGTGAACACGTGGTTCCCGTCCCAAGGATAGTGAAGTTTTATGGAGTCACGACTTCTAAACCGGGACAAACCAATGGATACCTCGCCCTGCCGGAATAAGAACTGTGTCAGTGTAGCAGGACATCGAAATGAGATGGTGAATGGAGGAAATAAGGAGCATCAATCACCCACAGTTAAGTAACCTTTCTAGTTATAGCAGACTGATACTGGCCAGTTAGGTATGTTGTAATTGGATAGGTTATGGGTGATCCAGCCACATCAAGTGACCACCAGAGAATATCTAGTAAGTGGTGGGATTATGTACAAACGTTTTTCCTTGATGGATGTATCCATGTGTAACCTACCCCCCCCCTTCATTCAGTTAAACTAATATAATCTATACAGTCCACAATTAATTAGTAGCGCCGTACTTGAGGGTGCTATCCAATTTATACTGGTCTCGGATAGATATGGATAAGATTGTGAGGGTCGAGGGGGCCACCTGCAGTGACCAGAGGTGGTTAAGTTTTCTCACATGTCTACACGAGGTGACTACGGTAAACAATATAGTTGTTGTCTCCCAATGAGATAACTCGTATGCATGTAATGTTGAAGTACGTACAGGTAATCACCCTAAAAAAGTTTCCATATTGGATATGTGTGCTGAAATTCAGGTTGTTGTCGAGGTATAGGCCTAGGAATTTGCCCTCATTATGTCTGGCAATTAGAGTGTTGTCGATCTTAATGTTAATTTGCGCAACTCCTGCTCTGCTACCAAACATAATACAACGTTTGGAAGATCATTGATGTATATGAGGAAGAGCAGGGGACCAAGGACACTTCCCTGCGGAACTCCAGTATCAAGTGACCGTGTTGTTGATGCTGTGTCTTTAATGGTGACATACTGATATCTATTAGTGAGGTAAGATTTGAAATATGCAAGTGCATGGCCTCTTATACCATAATGGCCAAGTTTGTGGAGTAGGATGCCGTGGTCTACTGTGTCAAAAGCTTTTCTTAGGCCAATAAAAATTCCTAGTGGATATTCCTTATTTTCCAATGCTGTGCAAAGCAGATCTAGCATTTTTATATTTGCATCATTAGTGCTTTTATTTTTTCTGAATCCAAATTGGCAGGGGTTGAGTATGTTTTGTGCCGTTATAAATGAATATAGTCTCCTGTGCACGAGTTTCTCAAAGGTTTTGGATAGCAATGGTAAGTTTGATATTGGCCTATAGTTGTTTAAATCTATAGGGTCACCACCTTTATGTATTGGTGTAACCCTTGCTGTCTTGAGTAGTTTCGGGAAGGTGCTAGTTTCTAGTGACTTGTTAAAAAGTAATGAAATAGCATGCGAAAGGACATGGGCCGCTCGCTTGTACAATAATGGTGGGACGTGAGACAGATTCCCCGAGTTATTTTTAAGTGACTTTGTAATCTCGGTGACTTCCATGGGCTCAGTTGGTACAAGACAGAAGGAATTCGGGAAATTCCCATCTAGGTAGTCCCTGGCATGGGCAGTGGTACATGGGATTTTATTGGCGAGATTAGATCCTATGGTTGAGAAGAAGTCGTTTATCTTGTTAGCTGTTTCAGTGGGATGCAGTGGTGTTTCATTAGGTTTAGCTAGGACAATATTCTTGTTTTTTTTCAGTTTGTGGGTCCCTAGAATCTGAGAGATTGTTTTCCAAGTCTTTTTTATATCTCCTCTTGTGTCAGTGAATCTGCTGTTATTAGCTTACTGAAACTAGGATATAGTTGACATTAATTGATGGATAACAGGAGTATGAGCGCCGTGTCGAAGAAGTGATGGATGTGGCGAAGCTAGGCTTGTGCAGAGGAGCCTCGGGCGTGGAAGCCCTCCTGCACAGGTACCAGCTACCTGCCACAGTGAGGGACCAGCAGGGCTGCAGCATCCTTCACTACATCGCTTCCTCCAAGGACGACAACAAGCAACCTCTCTGGGCAGCTGATGATGTTATTTACTTCCTCAATAACTACAAGTGCTTACTCAATGCTCGTGACTACGCCGGTAAGTTAGCAGGAATGTTTGGTACAGAGTAAGACTGAAAGAGTAACAGTGAGTTGAGCAGTTATTATGAAGTGTGAGGTTTACCTGGAAAGGGTTTCGGGGGTCAACGCCCCCGCTGCCCGGTCTGAGACCAGGCCTCATGGTGGATCAGGGTCTGATCAACCAGGCTGTTACTGCTGGCTGCACGCAAGCTGATGTACGAACCACAGCCCGGTTGGTCAGGTACTGACTTTAGGTGCCTGCCAAGTGCCTTCTTGAAGACAGCCAGGGGTCTATTGGTAATCCCCCTTATGTATGCTGGGAGGCAATTGGACAGTCTTGGGGCTCGGGCACTTATTGTGTTGTCCCTCAGTGTACTCGTGGCACACCTGCTTTTCATTGGGGGAATGTTCCATCTCCTGCCGAGTCTTCTGCTTTCATATGGAGCGATTTTCGTGTAAAGGTTTGGTACCAATCTCTCCAGGACCTTCAAAGTGTATATTATCGTGTATCTCTCTCGCCTGCGTTCGAGGGAATACAGATCAAGGACATTCAACCATTCCCAGTAGTTTAGGTGCCTTATCACACTTATGTGTGCAGTGAAAGTTCTTTGTATACTCTCCAGGTCTGCAATGTCGCCAACCTTGAAGGAGGCCGCTAGTGTACAGCATATTCCAGCCTAGAGCGCACAAGCGATTTGAAGAGAATCATCATGGGCTTGGCGTCCCTAGTTTTGAAGGTTCTCATTATCCACCCTATCATTTTCCTAGCGGATGAGGTAGATAGATTGTCGAGATCTTTGAAGGCGAGATCCTTTGACATTATCACTCCCAGGTTCTCCACATTACTTTTCTGCTCTCTTGTATGGTTAGAATTTGTGGTATACCCTGACACATTTTTAATTTCTTCAAGTTTTCCATATCTGAGTAGTTGAAATTTCTCCTCGTTGAACTTCATATTGTTTTGAGTGGCCCATTCGAAGATTTGGTTGATGTCCGCTTGGAGTCTCGCAGTGTCTTCGATGGAGGTCACTGACATGGTGATCCAGGTGTCATCCGCAAAGGGTAGCAAGTATAATTAATATTACATTTAGGGGAAAGCACTAATCCTGTAGGTATCGAACAACGTCTGGGGGAATGGGAGACAATCAGGTTCGATTTAAGTAGAGAAAAAGTCCATTTCCTTGCATCAAGAGCCTTTCACCAGAATCAAGGAACCTCCCTTCAGGGGAGGAAGCATTCAAACTAAGGTGAGGGATAGCAAGTATGAAGACTGAGGTTGAGGGATAGCAAGTATGAAGACAGAGGTTGAGGGATAGCAAGTATGAAGATTGAGGTTGAGGGATAGCAAGTATGAAGACTGAGGTTGAGGGATAGCAAGTATGAAGACTGAGGTTGAGGGATAGCAAGTATGAAGATTGAGGTTGAGGGATAGCAAGTATGAAGACTGAGGTTGAGGGATAGCAAGATTATAGGTTATGGTGAGGGGCGCGGAGCCCCAGACCGACATAATGAGATTAGTCACGAGGGAGCATTCACCAAATTCAACTTCAATAACAAAAACATAAAGTGGGACCAAGTAAACCAAGTCCTAACCGATATAAGCTGGGAAGATATACTAAGCAACACAGACCCCAACTTATGCCTAGAACAGATTAACTCGGTGGCACTCGATGTATGCACAAGGCTTATTCCTCTAAGAAAAAGGAGGAGTAGATGTAAAACAGAAAGAGACAGGCGCTCCCTTTACAGGCGACGGAAAAGAATAACAGAGCGGCTAAAAGAGGTCAATATAACTGAAATGCGTAGGGAGACACTGGTCAGAGAAATAGCAAGCATCGAACTTAAGCTAAAAGAATCCTTTAGGAGTCAGGAATCGCGGGAAGAACTAAAAGCCATAAATGAAATCGAAAGAAACCCAAAGTATTTCTTCTCCTATGACAAATCAAAATCGAGAACAACGTCCAGTATTGGGCCCCTACTTAAACAAGATGGGTCCTACACAGATGACAGCATGGAAATGAGCGAGCTACTCAAGTCCCAATATGACTCAGTTTTTAGCAAGCCGCTAACCAGACTGAGAGTCGAAGATCAAAATGATTTTTTTATGAGAGAGCCACAAAATTTGATTAACACAAGCCTATCCGATGTTATCCTGACGCCAAATGACTTCGAACAGGCGATAAATGACATGCCCATGCACTCTGCCCCAGGGCCAGACTCATGGAACTCTGTGTTCATCAAGAACTGCAAGAAGCCCCTATCACGAGCCTTTTCCATCCTATGGAGAGGGAGCATGGACACGGGGGTCGTCCCACAGTTACTAAAAACAACAGACATAGCCCCACCCCACAAAGGGGGCAGTAAAGCAACAGCAAAGAACTACAGACCAATAGCACTAACATCCCATATCATAAAAATCTTTGAAAGGGTCCTAAGAAGCAAGATCACCACCCATCTAGAAACCCATCAGTTACACAACCCAGGGCAACATGGGTTTAGAACAGGTCGCTCCTGTCTGTCTCAACTATTGGATCACTACGACAAGGTCCTAGATGCACTAGAAGACAAAAAGAATGCAGATGTAATATATACAGACTTTGCAAAAGCCTTCGACAAGTGTGACCATGGCGTAATAGCGCACAAAATGCGTGCTAAAGGAATAACAGGAAAAGTCGGTCGATGGATCTATAATTTCCTCACTAACAGAACACAGAGAGTAGTCGTCAACAGAGTAAAGTCCGAGGCAGCTACGGTGAAAAGCTCTGTTCCACAAGGCACAGTACTCGCTCCCATCTTGTTCCTCATCCTCATATCCGACATAGACAAGGATGTCAGCCACAGCACCGTGTCTTCCTTTGCAGATGACACCCGAATCTGCATGACAGTGTCTTCCATTGCAGACACTGCAAAGCTCCAGGCGGACATCAACCAAATCTTTCAGTGGGCTGCAGAAAACAATATGAAGTTCAACGATGAGAAATTTCAATTACCCAGATATGGTAAACATGAGGAAATTAAGTCTTCATCAGAGTACAAAACAAATTCTGGCCACAAAATAGAGCGAAACACCAACGTCAAAGACCTGGGAGTGATCATGTCGGAGGATCTCACCTTCAAGGACCATAACATTGTATCAATCGCATCTGCTAGAAAAATGACAGGATGGATAATGAGAACCTTCAAAACTAGGAGGCCAAGCCCATGATGACACTCTTCAGGTCACTTGTTCTATCTAGGCTGGAATATTGCTGCACACTAACAGCACCTTTCAAGGCAGGTGAAATTGCCGACCTAGAAAATGTACAGAGAACTTTCACGCGCGCATAACGGAGATAAAACACCTCAATTATTGGGAGCGCTTGAGGTTCCTAAACCTGTATATCCCTGGAACCCAGGAGGGAGAGATACATGATTATATACACCTGGAAAATCCTAGAGGGACTAGTACCGAACTTGCACACGAAAATCACTCACTACGAAAGCAAAAGACTTGCAGACGATGCACCATCCCCCAATGAAAAGCAGGGGTGTCACTAGCACGTTAAGAGACCATACAATAAGTGTCAGAGGCCCGAGACTGTTCAACTGCCTCCCAGCACACATAAGGGGATTACCAACCAGATCCCTGGCAGTCTTCAAGCTGGCACGGACAAGCACCTAAAGTCAGTTCCGGATCAGCCGGGCTGTGGCCCGTACGTTGGTTTGCGTGCAGCCAGCAGCAACAGCCTGGTTGATCAGGCTCTGATCCACCAGGAGGCCTGGTCACAGACCGGGCCGCGGGGGCGTTGACCCCCGGAACTCTCTCCAGGTAATCCAGGTAATTACCTGGAGTTTACCTGGAGAGAGTTCCGGGGGTCAACGCCCCCGCGGCCCGGTCTGTGACCAGGCTTCCTGGTGGTATGAAGTAATGTTTAATACACAAACGTGATTTTCTGTATTTACATTGTGCAGTGTAATGCACGCTGTGCAGATTTTCTTGCAAGGCTCAGAATGAGAATCTTCATAGTCATAACAGAGTCCAGTGTGAATCCCCCAGGATATTGACTTCATCTTTGAAGACTGAGTCCCTTCAATTTATCCTCACCTCCATGTTGTTTAATCATTGTTTTCTTTGCAAAAAATGTCACCTGACGCTAGCGAAAAACTAATGTAAAAGACCTTGGAGTGATAATATTAAAGAATCTCACCTTCAAAGACTCCAACATTGAATCACTTGCATCTGCTAGAAAAATGACAGGATGGATAATGAGAACCTTCAAAACTAGGGACGCTAAGCCCATGATGACACTCTTTAGGTCACTTGTTCCATCTAGGCTAGAATATTACTGCGCACTAACAGAACCTTTAAAGCAGGTGAAATTGCTGACCTAGAAAATGTGCAGAGAACCTTCACGGCGCACATAACTGCGATAAAACACCACTGGTAACGCTAAAGTTCCTCAACATGATACTCCCTAGAATGCAGGCGGGAGAGATACAGAATTATATACACTTGGAAAATCCTAGAGGGATTAGCACCAAACTTACACACGAAAATCACTCCCTATGAAAGCAAAAGACTTGGAAGACGATGCAACAACCCCCCCCCCCACCCAATGAAAAGCAGGGGCGCCACTAGCCCGATAATAGACACAATCAGTGTCAAGGGCCCAAGGCTGTTCAACTGCCTCCCAGCATACATAAAAGGGATTATCAATAGACCCTTGGCTGTCTTCAACAAGGTGCTGGATAGGCACCTGGAACCAGTACCTGACCAGCCGGGCTGTGGTTTGTACGTAGGGTTGCATGTGGCCAACAGTAACAGCGTGGTTGATCAGGTCCTGATCCACCATGAGGCCTGGTCACAGACCGGACCACGGGGCCGTTGACCCCCGAAACCCTCATAAGGTATACTCCAGGTATACCTGTCACAGACCTTGGGAAACAAACTAGGGTTTACCTGGAGTTTACCTGGACAGGGTTTTGGGGGTCAACGCCCCCGCGGCTCGGTCTGAGACCAGGCCTAGTGGTGGAACAGGATCTGATCAACCAGGCTGTTACTGCTGGACGCACGCAGACTGACGTACGAAGCACAGCCCGGCTGGTCAAGTACTGACTTTAGGTGCCTGTCCAGGGCCTTCTGGAAGACAACCAGGGGTCTATTGGTAATACCCCTTACGTAAGCTGGGAGGCAGCTGAACAGTCTTGGGCCCCTGACACTTGTATTCATCTAGTTGTTCTCACCTAGTTGAGGTTGCAGGGGTCGAGTCCAAGCTCCTGGCTCCGCCTCTTCACTGGTCGCTACTAGGTCACTCTCCCTGAACCGTGAGCTTTATCATACCTCTGCTTAAAGCTATGTATGGAATCTGCCTCCACTACATCGCTTCCCAAACTATTCCACTTCCTGACTACTCTGTGGCTGAAGAAATACTTCCTAACATCCCTGTGATTCATCTGTGTCTTCAACTTCCAACTGTGTCCCCTTGTTGCTGTGTCCCATCTCTGGAACATCCTGTCTTTGTCCACCTTGTCAATTCCTCATAGTATTTTGTATGTCTTTATCATGCCCCCCCCTATCTCTCCTGTGTTGTGTTGTGTCTTATCGTGCAAGCTACGCCCCTGCTTTTCATTGGGGAGATGTTGCATCGTCTGCCGAGTCTTTTGCTTTCATAGGGAGTGATTTTTGTGTGCAAGTTTGGTACTAATCCCTCTAGGATTTTCCAAGTGTATATAACCATGTATCTCTCCCACCTGCGTTCCAGGGAGTACAGGTTGAGGAACTTCAAGCGTTCCCAGTAATTGAGGTGTTTTATCGTAGTTATGTGTGCCCTGAAAGTTCTCTGCACATTTTCTAGGTCAACAATTTCACCTGCCTTGAAAGGTGTTCTTAGTGTGCAGCAATATTCCAGCCTAGATAGAACAAGGGACCTGAAGAGTGCCGTCATGGGCTTGGCGTCCCTAGTTTTGAAGGTTCTCATTATCCATCCTGTCATTTTTCTAGCAGATGTGATTGATACAATGTTATGGTCTTTGAAGGTGAGATCTTCCGACACGATAACTCCCAGGGCTTTTACATTAGTTTTTCGCTCTATTGTGTGGTTGGAATTTGTTTTATATTCCGATTTAGTTTTAATTTCTTCAAGTTTTCCATATCGGAGCAATTGAAATTTCTCATCATTGAATTTCATTTTGTTTTCTGCGGCCCATTTAAAAGATATGATTGATGTCCGCCTGAAGTCTTACGGTGTCTTCAGTTTAGGACACTGTCATGCAAATTCGGGTGTCATCAGCAAAAGAAGACACGGCACTTTGGCTAATATCCCTCTCTATGTCAAATATGAGGATGAGGAACAAGATAAGAGCGAGTACTGTGCCTTGGGGAACAGAGCTTTTCACCGTAGCCGCCTCAGACTTTACTCTGTTTACTACTACTCTTTGTGTTTTATTTGTCAGGAAATTATAGATACATCTACCAACTTTTCAGGATAATGTCTGGTAGGCTTGTGCTTACCAACTTCTGTGGCTCTCTCATAAAAAATTCATTTAGATCTTCGACTCTTAGTCTGGTTAGCGGCTCACTGAAAACCGAGTCCGTTTGGGACTTGAGTAGCTTACTCATTTCCTTGCTGTCATCTATAGGACCCATCTCGTCTAAGTAGGGGCCCAATACTAGATGTTATTCTCGACTTAGATTTGGCATAAGAAAAAAAAATATTTTGGGTTTCTTTCAATTTCATTTAAGGCTTTTAGTTCTTCCCGCATTTCATGACTTCTGTTAGATTCCTTTAGCTTAAGTTCGATGTTTGCTATTTCTCTGACCAGTGTCTCCCTTCGTATTACAGATATATTGGTCTAGTCGCTCTGTTATTTTTTCCCTTCGCCTGTATAGGGAGCGCTTTTCTCTTTCTAGTTTACATCTTCTCTTCCTTTTCCTTAAAGGAATATGCTTTAAGCATACCTCGAGTGCCACATTGCTAATCTGTTCTAGACATAAGTTTAGATCCGTGTTGCTTAGGCTATCTTCCCAGTTTATGTCATGTAGGACCTGACTGACTTGGTCCTACCTGATGTTTTTGTTATTGAAGTTGAATTTGGTGAAGGCTCTGTCATGACTGATCACATTTTGTCGGTCTGGGGCTCCGCACATATATGTCTGAACCTCTATTATGTTGTGATCTGAGTATATTGTTTTTGATATAGTAATATTTCGTATCAGATCTCAGTGTTAGTGAAGATGAGGTCCAGTGTATTCTCCAATCTTGTTGGCTCTATTATTTGCTGGTTTAAAGTGAATTTGGTGCAGAGATTTTAAAGCATGTTTGTGCGAGTTTTCATCTGAACTGCCTCCTGGGGTTATCTCTGCTATAGCATTATTTGCTACATTCCTCCATTTTAGATGCCTTAGGTTGAAATCCCCCAGGAGCAAGATGTAAGACACAGCACTGTGTCCTCCATTGCTAGTGATACCAGACTTTGCATGACACTCTCATCCATTGAAGACACTGCAAATCTCCAACAAACTCGTCTATGAAGTTTACTCTTTTTATGTGCTTCCTGTAGTCCTTTAATATCAACAGCTTGTTCACGGCAACTGGAGCCAAATCAAAGTTAATCTTTAAACCTGGCCACATACATATATTAAGGATGTGGTTTGTGAAGATATTTATTTGGTTGTTAACATATTATTATTATTATAATCAAGGGGGAAGCGCTAAACCCGGAGGATTATAAAGCGCCTGGGGGGGGGATGTGGAAGGCATTCAGGCTTAATTCGGGGAACTGGAGCACAGATCCAATTCCCTAAATCAAGAGCCCCTCACCAACATCAAGGAACCTTCCTTGAGGGGTTGGTTGTTAACATAACCTTGGAGCAAAGTGTCTTATTCAGTAGCCGCAGGAACCGAGCATAGAGCTTGCTACTTTCTCGTCTCTCGTAGCTAAGTTGTGCTATTTGGTTCTTTAGCTTCATCTGTTAAGATGTTCATGTTAATATGAACAGCGCTGTCATAGGATGAGTCAACGTATTCAAGCAGTTTGCAACTTTGTTTAAAGTCAGAACTGGATCCGTGTGAGTGCCAGGGAAAACAGATGGAGTAGTACACATTTTTTTCAAGACGATAATTGTGAAGTGTTCAGTAAAGTTTTTCCGTGTGAAGTAGTGTATTAAGGTGTCTCTATACTTTATAACCATGTCTTGTTGTAGAAGGTAAGAATTTCCACCTTTATTTACCAACAAAGAACTGTTCCTGCGTCAGCTCATTTCAAAGCCTTGCTTTTATTATATTTTTAGTGTTATGAAACATATATATTGGGAATAAGAGAATGTTGGAGCACCTGTAAGATAGAGATTTCATTTGAACAGTTAACTTTATTTCATAAGTGTTATGGTGTACAAATGTGATCCAGGTTTGAGTCATTCTGAGAATGCATGATCTCAGATGAAGTGATGTATAGCCAAAGTGTAGTTGCTGTTTGCTTCCTGTCTTGTGGTATAGAAGCTTTCCTCGAAGTAGAGCCAGGTGTGGCACCTTGACAGTATCGGCTATGTACATAACAGAAGGGCCATGCACATCTAGGCTCTGCTGAAATGATGGATCCATCCAAGATTGGATGGGTCCATCCAGATCCATCCAAGACTCGATGGATCTGTCGATGGGGAGGGGGGGTACAGGTAATCCAAGAAAGTGGTGCATACTCAGTGTGTAAGTGTATTTGTGCCTTGTACAGTTTTACATCCTCAACTGTCGAGCAGGTATGAGATACACTTCAGTTTTGATAACTTCTTAGCTGTCTTGCTTGCAAGATTTACTATGTGATTTTTCATATTATTATTATTATAATCAAAAAGAAGCGCTAAGCCACAAGGGCTATACAGCATGTGATTTTTCATAGATATTTTGTAGTCAGATTTCACACCAGCACCAGCATTGTCTATTGCTACTACACAGCTGATCTTGGATTCATCTTAACAGATTAGCAAGTGTGTGATCCCTTCTGAAGCTATGTTGACATTCACAAAGAAATAAATGACACATTAAACAAATGTCATTTGCCATGAGACTGTCTCAGGAATATCTCTCTCTCTCATGTTTTCTCTCTATCTCTTACTAATTCATATATTCATTTTAATGCTTGTTATTTAGTGATGATAGATAAGTCGGTGCTCACTGCTCATCATTTATTATAATCATAGGGAAGCGCTAAACCCGTATTTTTATTATAATCAAGGGGGAAGTACTAAACCCGTAGGATTATACAGTGTCTGTGGGGAAAGGATGGAAGGTATTCAGGTTTAATTCAGGGAACTGGAGCACAGATCCAATTCCCTAGATCAAGAGCCCCTCACCAGCATCAAGGAACCTCCCTCGAGGAGCCACTGCTCATCAGTAACCCCCTACATGAGCTGTGCTCAGAGCAGTGTATCGTTTTCCTAGGTTGCACATGCCTGCATCTGTTGGCGAAGGCGGCATCCAGCAGTGACCTGAAGATTATCTGGGGAAAACGAGAGGTTGGTGTGTCTGATGCCTGGGTCGAGATGGCAGAGTTGCTGGTCACACAAGGCGCTGACCCAACATTTGTGGACAACAAGGGTCACTTGCCTCAATATATTGCCAAGAAGATGGGTAATATCAAGTTGTTAATCTATTTAGCTGAGGTTAGTAATACATGTGTACCGATGCTGTTGATTTCCTTAAAAAAAATAGTGGGTAAAGGGTGAGATACAGTGATTAAAAAAAAAGGGGGGGGGGAATTAAGTTGGAAAACTAAGACATGGGGGAGGGTGCATATTGTATTTCATGTTATATCCATAATATATTTTTTCATCACCAAGGTGTGTAATCACTGTGAAAATAATAAAGTGGAACAAAAATTTGACGACTTGGTAAAAGCCGCCAGAACAAGTAAGCTGGAGAGACTAATGTCACTGCTGAACAAGAACACTCCACTGCTCCCGATGGGGGCGACCTGTGATCCTCTAGTGGAGGCTATCAAGTATAGTTCCCTTGGGAGTGTGCAGTTGCTGCTTAGTGCAGGGGCGCCTCTGTGCGGACTTTCCCTCATCTCCATCACCGCCCTGGAAGCCTCTCACGGACGCTCACGCCTCCCGGCTATCTTTCCTGCCATCATGAGAAAGGTGAGTGCTTATGGAACATTTTGTATGGATGACTTTGTCACTTTCTCTGATTTTTTTTTTGTGGGGGGGGGAGGTTCCTAACTACAATTACACTCTATTTGACTTAGGTTAGTAATACACATGTATATCAATATTTGCTCCAATAACTCACTACAGTTGTGACCGGGTGTGGAAGTGTGAATTGCTCATTACTCTAAAATTTGTTCATGATTGTAGCCATGTATAAACGTAAGTAACCATTCTTACAGTATTCATTACCTTTGTAACTTGTGAGTTCATTACCTTGTACCTAGTTCAGCCATCAAAACTTTGGGGCTCGGTCCCCGGACCCATTATGTACCTCTGTAATCTGTAAATACCTTTGTAACTTGTCATGATTGTGACTAGACCTACCTGGAGTTCATTACCTTTGTAAATTGTGAGTTTATTACCTTTGTAAATTGTGAATTCATTACCTCTGTAACTTGTACACCTATCAAAACTTTGAGGCCCAGTCCCTGGACCCATTATGTACCTCTGTAATCATTTGACTACCGCCCACAGGATGGGTATGGGGTGCATAATAAACATTAAACAAACAACAACTAACCTCAGTCAAATAGACTAACACTGTATATGTAATTGCACCTAAATAAACTAAGGTTTTTGTATATGTATTTGTAAATGCACTGTTTGTCTACTCACCTTATTGTGGTTGCAAGGGTCGATTCGTAGCTCCTGGCCCCGCCTCTTCACAGGTCACTACTAGGTCCACACTCTCCCTGCTCCAGGAGCTTTATCATACCTCTTCTTAAAGCTATGTATGGATCCTGCCTCCACTACGCCACTCTCCAGACTGTTCCACTTCCTGACAACTCTATGACTGAAGAAATACTTCCAACATCCTTGTAACTCATCTGAGTCTTCACCTTCCAATTGTTACCCATTGTTGCTGTGTCCCATCAAATCAAATCAAATCAAATCAAAAGTTTATTCTCTATAAAGATTACAATGTGGAGTTTACGTATTATAAAATATTGGTTACAATGTGTGGTTTACATATTATAAAATACTAATTACAGAGAGGGCCACTATCATGCCTAGCATGACTAGGCATTTCAGGCAGACTAATAATAAATAATTCAACCCCTATGTTGATACAGGTTGTGGAGCATATTGGCTTGGTAACTGCATTACAGTTTGTAAATTTAGCAGTGAGAATGGTTTTGTCTTGGCATGATACGTAGTTTCTATTAAAGCTCCTATATTGGAGTATCTCAGGCAAACTTATGACTAGTTTAAGATTCATTAGGTGATAGCTTAATTTCGTAATTTTATGTTTACAGTCATTTGGGTGAGTGTAAGTGTAAATTGAGGGGAATCACAGTTATCGAGAGTAGGTCTAGTTTGTTTTATGTGTGTATTATACAAGGAAAAGAATAGGTGGTTTTCATTGATTGTGGCACGTAGTGACTTATCTTGGAGAGGATCCCAACTGTTTTGGATACTTTTTATTTGTTATGTGTTGGATATGGGTGCTGAATTTCAAGTTGCTGTTGAGGTGTAGGCCCAGGAATTTGCCCTCATTATGTTTAGCAATAAGAGTGTTGTCGATCTTAATGTTCAGTTGTGTAACATCTGCTCTGTTATCAAACATAATATAGAAGGTTTTGTCAGTGTTAAGTGCAAGTTTATTGGCTGTCATCCAAGTAGATATTTTTAGTAGCTCCTTGTTAACAATGGTGTTGAGTGTGGCAAGATTTGGGTGGTAGATGGCATAAGTCGTGACGTCAGCAAAGAGAATTGGTTTGAGGTGTTGTAATACATTGGAGGAAGAGGAAGAGCAGGAGACCAAGGACGCTTCCCTGTGGCACTCAAGTATCAACTGGTTGTGTTGATGAGGTTGTCTTTAATGGTGACGTTCTGATACCTATTAATATGGTAGGATTTGAAATATGCACGTGCATGGCCTCTTAAACCATAAAGGCCAAGTTTGTGAGGAGTAGGATGCCGTGGTCTTCTGTGTCAAAAGCTTTCCTTAGGTCAATAAAAAGTCCTAATGGATATTCCCTATTTTCCAGTGCTGTGTAAAGCAGATCTAGCATTTTTACAATTGCATAGTTTGTGCTTTAATTTTTTTCTGAAGCCAAATTAGCAGGGGTTGAGTATGCTTTGTGCTGTTATAAACGAGTATAATCTCTTGTGCACGAATTTCTCGAAGATTTTGGATAGCAACTGTAAGTTTGATATTGGCCTATAGTTGTTTACATCTGTGGGGTCACCACCTATGTGTATTGGTGTAACCCTTGCTCTCTTGAGAAGTGTCGGAAAAGTTCTAGTTTCTAGTGACTTGTTAAACATTAATGTAATAGCATGCGAAAGGACATGAGCCGCTCGCTTGTACAATAATGATAGGACTTGAGACAGATTCCCTGATTTATTTTTAAGTGACTTGATAATCGTGGTGACTTCAGTGGGCTCAGTAGGTGCAAGATAGGAGTTTGGGAAATTCCCATCTAAGTAATCACTTGCTCGGGCGTTGGTACCTGGGATTTTACTGGCGAGATTTGATCCTATCAATACACTGTAGTGGTGTTTCGTTCGGTTTAGTTAGGACAATATCCCTAGTTTTTTCAGTTTGTGGGTGCCCAGAATCTGAGAGAGTGTTTTCCAGATCTTTTTTATATCTCCTCTGGTTTCAGTGAATCTGCTGGAGTAGTACAATTGTTTGGCTTTATATATTAATTTGGTTAGAACTGATGAATAGTGTTTAATAATAACTTTGTGTATTAAGCCCTGTCTATATTGCTTTTCATATTGATGTTTCTTATTCACCTTGTCAATTCATCTCAGTATTTTATATGTCGTTATCATATGTCCCCTATCCTTCCTCTCCTCCAGTGTCGTCAGGTCAATTTCCCTTAACCTCACCTTCGTAGGACATACTCCTTAGCTCTGGGACAAGTCTTGTTGCAAACCTTTGCACTTTCTCTAATTTCTTGACAAGCTTGACCAGGTGTATACCTGGAGAGGGTTCCGGAGATCAACACCCCTGCAGCCCGGTCTGTGACCAGGCTTCTTGGTGGATCAGTGCCTGATCAACCAGGCTGTTACTGTTGGCTGCATGCAACCCAACGTATGAACCACACCTCGGCTGGTCAGGCACTGATTTTAGGTGCCTGTCCAGTACCTGCTTGAAGACAGCCAGGGGGTCTATTGGTAATCCCCCTTATGTATGCTGGGAGGCAGTTGAAGAGTTTTGGGCCCCTGACACTTATTGTGTTGTCTCTTATCCTGCCAGTGGCACCCCTACTTGTCATTGTGGGTATTGCATCGTATGCCAAGTCTTTTGCTTTCATAGGGAGTGATTTTCGTGTGAAAGTTTGGTACTAATCCCTCTAGGATTTTCCAAGTGTGTATAATCAGGTATCACTCCTGCCTGCTTTCTAGTGAGTACAGGTTGAGGAACTTCAAGTATTCCCAGTAATTGAGGTGTTTTTCGCAGTTATGTGTGCGCTGAAGGTTCTCTGTACATTTTGTAGGTCAGCAATTTCACCTCCCTTGAAAGGTTCTGTTAGTAATAATAATAATATCTTCATTTCTACAAGTACAAGTACAAGGTATACAGATCATAGCTGACATCAGTGACATACTATTATATAGAAAGCCGCTTGTTATACTGAGTATTTTCCGCAAATTAGGTCAGTTTTGTCCCAGCATGTGACCCACACCAGTCGACTAACACCCAGGTACCTATTTTACTGATGGGTGAACATAGACAACTGGTGTAAAGAAACATGCCCAATGTTTCTACCATAGCTGGGAATCGAACCCAGACCCTCGCCGTGCGAAGCGAGAGCTTCAGCCACCAGAACACGGGGCATCAGGCAGCAATATTCCAGCCTAGATAGAACAAGCAACCTGAAGAGTGTGATCATGGGCTTGGCATCCCTAGTTTTGAATGTTCTCATTATCCATCCTGTCATTTTTCTAGCAGATGCGATTTATACAGTGTTAAGGTCTTTCAAGGTGAGGTCCTCTGACATGATCACTCCCAGATCTTTTACATTACTTTTTCGCTCTGTTGTGTTGTTGGAATTTGTTTTATACTCCGATGTAGTTTTAATTTCCTCACGTTTTCCATATCGGAGTAATTTAAATTTCTAATCTTTGAACTTCTCATTTTTTCTGCGGCCCATTTAAAGATTTGGTTCATGTCTGCCTGGAGTCTTGCGGAGTTTTCAGTGAAGGACACTGTCATGCAAATTCGGGTGTCATCTGCAAAGGAAGATATGGTGCTGTGCCTTATATTCCTGTGTATGTCAGATATGAGGATGAGGAGCTAGGAATTTTTATTGACCTAAGAAAAGCTTTTCACACAATAGACCACGGCATCCTACTCCACAAACTTGACCATTACGGTATAAGAGGCCATGCACTTGCATATTTCAAATCTTACCTTACTAATAGGTATCAGTATGTTACCATAAAAGACACAGCATCAATAACACGGCCACTTGATACTGGAGTTCCGCAGGGAAGTGTCCTTGGTGCCCTGCTCTTCCTCATATACATCAATGATCTTCCAAACGTATCCCAACACCTGAAACCCATTCTCTTTGCTGACGACACGACTTATGTCATCTCTCACCCTAATCTTGCCACCCTCAACACCATTGTTAACGAGGAGCTGATCAAAATATCGACTTGGATGACAGCCAATAAACTTACACTTAACACTGACAAAACCTACTAGTATATTATGTTTGGTAGCAGAGCAGGAGTTGCGCAAATTAACATTAAGATCGACAACACTCTAATTACCAGACATAATGAGGGCAAATTCCTAGGCCTATACCTCGACAACAACCTGAATTTCAGTACCCATATCCAACACATAACCAAAAAAGTATCCAAAACGGTTGGGATCCTCTCCAAGATACGATACTACGTGCTGCAAAATGCCCTTCTCACACTATACCATTCGCTTATCTATCCATACCTCGCCTATGCTATTTGTG